GTGTTTGCGCTTCTCCCATTTCTTAGCTGGGGAAGAAGGCAGCAACGGGGCCTCCATGGAAGCGGCGCCTTCGTCTGAAGGATGTTGTGGAGGATCGGCGGAAGTCGAAGTGGGGCGCTTTGCAGGAGCGCTTGCAGTGGAGGAGGAGCACTGAGGAGGCGCGACCGAAGAGGAACCAGGCCGTAAGAGCACTTGGTCAGATTGCATTAAGGCCTAGTCCCATAGGAGTTTTTGAAGACGATTCTCCCTATTCTTCCTTGCTTGCTTGGTAAACGTCAAGCAATGGCCGCATTTGTCAGTTCTATGCCCCTCGCCAAGGCAGAGGAGGCATAGATCATGTGGATCCACAGGTGACATTTTGGATCCACATTCGATGCATTTGCAGAATGCCGCTCGCTGCGCCATCGTGAAAAGGAATAAAGAGAAGACAGTGTAGAGGGTAAGATGATATTTCTGGGTTTTTTTATTTTTAGAAATGAAGGGATTTAAGAAGAATCGGGAAGAGAAACAAACTTGGAGCAAAAGAGGAATAGTTTAGAGGAGATAAATGCAAAAGTGGACAAGGAGCACAAAGATCTAAGCAAGGGACGAACAGGCACGAGGCACAGCGAACAACGGTCACAAAGACTGAGTAAAATGGCGGACACTCCGCTCTATTTATACCACTGAGGGGGAGGGGAGCAGAGTTTTCCCGCCAAAAACTGTTAGCTTTCTAATCTTCCGGCCTAGGCACTGCGCAGGCGCAGCACCCATATGTGTGATGCACAGAGGCCACGACGAAGAAATGTATGATTTCTAGGTGACCCAAATCATACATATCCAGCAGAGTGCCCTTTCAAGATGGATGTTGAACTGTGTCTGGCTAAAGCTTTTATGTGCACAGGGCATTGTCAAGTACTATTCACCAAAAGAATAAGCTTTTTGTGGGCAGGACAGGACTCAGTGCCACACACTGCTAATTGTGCAAGCATAATATTTTTGATAGCCCAAATATGGGGTACACAGTTCCAGTTCTCCCCCCTCCCCCCCACACACACTTATACTGATTGCTGTGAGAGGACCAGTTTGCACATAGAAAGCTTTGCATAGAATAGGACTTAAAGCCCTTTAACAGAGGACTTTTGTGTATGTGTTTTGGAGCAGCTTAAAGCTTATTGTGGGGGTGTGCATAACCAGATCCTTATTCCTTTCAGTCTAGATTATAATTGGCATGGCTGCACAAATTTGAGACCTCACAAAGAAAGCTTTAGGCTGAACAAGGCTTAGTGCCATCTTAGAGGGAACACTGCTGAACTTGTGGGTGCATGAACTGGGGCAGTCCAAAGTTTGCTGCGGGGTTCACAGCAGTTCCTTATTTTTAAAAATCCTATTCTGCTATTATTGGCACAGGCTATGTGATTGGTAGTACTCTTGAACGGGCAGAAAGCCTTGGGCTGAATACAACTCAGTGCCAAATGAGAAGTGACACTCTTCTTGACATACAGGTATATGATTTGGAGTGAGTGTACCCTGCACATAAAGGTACATGCTGGACAGAATTCAGTCTCTTGTTGTAGAGTGCCCTGTCCTGACATAAGGGCTTATGATTGCTTGTGGCCCAGTGTTTATCGAGGGATGCACAACTACAGATCCTTTGTCATTATCAACTGAAGTCATGATTTGTGAAGACTTTGCATAAAAGTGACCATTTTGACTACAGATGAATATTGTTTCTCATGAAGGGGACAGAGATATATATGGAGTAGACCTAAACTTAGTTTGGGGTGCAAGGGCATTTAAGCTGTACTGACTACTTGTGGGTGAGGCTTTTATCATGAAGCTTTATTCACCAAATTTTACAGGGAGTCCAGATGACATGTCTAACTCTCCCATGTTTCCTCAGCATCTTCTGTCTTTTTGGTCTTGATTTCCATTTTATTCTTTGTACTTTGTCTTGGACTCTGTAAATCAGGACGGTACCAGAAATGTTTCCATATATTTTTGTAGTTTGCTGTATTGTTCTACTTTGTTCATATTTGCACCTGTGGGTGGATAATTGTTTAGTTTGCAACAGAAATATCTCAGACTGAAAGGGCAAATATCGGAAAGTGCCTAACTAAGTGGTTTGTGAATAGCTTTGACAGGTTTTATATTTGTTTTGGTATCATGGCTGTTTCCATGCTGCATTCCAGGAATGTAAAAATGGGGGCCTGCAATAAATAGTAATGGAGGGAGGAAACATAGCATAACGAGGAGGTACTGTTCTTTTCCTTTGCTGACTCCCCTTTGCTCCCCAATGTGCCTAGCTGACTGGGGAGGATGCTGTATCCTGGAAAGCCTGAAAGTCATTTCTGCCATGGAGGAAGCAAGAGCCGTGTGTAGATTTTACTGCAAATGTAACTGGGTAGAACAAGGGTCTCAAACTCGGGGCACGCCGGCCAATTGCCGGGATGGGCAGGGCACAGGGAAGGGGCCCTGCGGCCTTCAAAGTGCTGGCGGCGCCCGGGCCGGCCGCGGAATGAGCGGCCCACCACCACGGTGGTGGTGGAATACTTGATGCGGCCCAGCCTCACCCAGACTCTACTTCCAGCGGCCCCCAGGTAAGTTGAGTTTGAGATCCCTGGGGTAGAAGCATGTCCACCCCAAACAAAGGTGTAGCAACTAAGTTCAATTACACCAATGCTAACTTCACATTTCTCTGAGTTCTATGGGCAGCTGTTACGGCTGTGCAGGGCGGAGAGGAAACAAGTATACAGACACCGGAAACTGCTCTGTGGAGTCTGACATCTAAAAATCAGGTGTAGGACGCTGCACCTAGATCCCAAGGGAGTGTGTCTGAACCTAATAGTACAGCTGGTAAAGGCCAGGTAGGGAGCAGATGTTCTGAAATGAATCAGAAAATCCCTTGCCTCTTTGATTCTGGCCCCTCACTCCAAAATGTCTGATCAAACCAAGCAACCAGACTGCTTGATTCCTAGGGTGGGGTGGTGGCACCCAAGGCTGGAAAATGGGTGGTTGAGAGTAGATTCATCCCAGCTCCTCACTAATGCTTGGAAAGGGCAGAGTATTCCTCAAGCCACATCATAGGCCTGGGCAACCCCCACTCCCAAATGTATCTACACACCATGTGAAACCAGGCCTGTTTCATAAATAGGGTATAGATTTTTCCATAAGAGTTGCTTTCTGTAGGTCAAACAGGGTAAAAATATGCATCAGCAAAGGCACAAGGGCTAATTTTTAAAAATGCTCTTATAGAATGAAATTGCTCAGTATATGTTTGTATATAACACTGAACACAGTATAATTTTGTTCCCCCACCCAACACACACCTTTTAAAAAAGCATTTACCATTATCATTTGGACAGGATTAGGGATTGTTTCTTCAGTTGATGAGGCAATTTTTTAAAAAAGGATCAGACTGATAAGCAAACGTACTTCTATCATTGTACAGAGGGTTTCCTCTATCAGAAAACATGGTTTTTAGCCACCAGTTATAGCCTCTAAGCAAACTTTTCTTTGTAGAAATTAATCACAGTGAAGCCATTTGAAGGGGAGTTTCTGACCTACTGGGACAGAAATGAAATTAAAGGAGAAAAGTAACCCCAATCCCCTGAACTAGCAAAAGTGTCCCCAGTCAATGCCATTTCTTCCACTTGTGTTCAAGGTTTTGCCTCCCTACATGAAAATTATTCAAATTCTCCACCCATGTTGATACAGCAGGGCAAGTTTAAGTTGTAATTTGGCTTTACACAAGTCAGAAACTGCCACAAAATGTTGTATTGTTTCCCCAGCTCCTATCAGAGGGGGCAAGCATTTACAGAAACTTTTCAGTGCCATAGTGCTAAGTAAAGGATTCATATTTGGGACTAAGAACCAACTGTGGGAAACTATAGTGTGAAGAAAGATTTCTGCATAATTAGCATGGGAAAGGGGACCTTTTCCCTTCCACTTGAAAGACCTTCATCTACATCATGGAGGGGAATAACTTGTGACATATAGGCCAACCCCATTTCCTCATCCCCTGCCTCAGCATTTGATAAATCCTGGATGTTACCATCCACACATAGAGCAGAGAAATACTTGTTTCTGAAGCCTTGGGAGAACTGCTGCCTAGTCAGAAGTTGGTGTGTGACTTGGTAGAAAGCAGTCCCCTCTACTGTTGAGTCTGCTTTATTTAAAAATTAAGTTTTCTGCATGTGTGGCACCTTTCCCTAAATAAGGAGTGACCACTGTCTAATTTATTCATGGCCTTGTACCTCTCAGACTGATAGGAGAAATAATGTAGGATTTTTAAAGAAATTTTCCAATCTGGGTTTCCTTATCAGGGTTTCTGCTCAATGCTGTTCATCAAGTGCTGCTTCCTGTTTTCCTATCAAGTCCTTTAGTCCTGTATGAGGTTTTCCTCAGAGCTAAACAAACCACCCATTTCCCGCATAGGAACTGCAACAATTTTCTTCATCACAGCAGCCGAGAAATGAATCCAGAGAAAGCAGACAATCCAGTTTTACCCCAGTCCCATAGATGAGCACATCACTAAAAGGGTATTCTGCAGCTTGAAAAGTGCTATGACTCTTGCACAGACTAAAGCATTTATGCTTTTAACACTTAATGGATTTTTCTTTCCACAGAGCAGTTTCATGATTACCATATTGGATGAGTAGAACCTGAAAACAAACCTGCCAAGTCAGTTAAGGTTACTACATTCTCTTTCCTTAGTACAGTTGCCATCTCCTCACGCTGCACAACCCACAGCAAGTCAACAGATGGAAATTCTCTCCTCAACTCTCTCCATGTTATGAAAAGCAACAGCTGTGGAATTGCTCCATGTCGTGTTGTTGGTAAGAAATTTTGCCTTAAAATGGTGAAACAGGCATGTAGGACTGCCAATAAACCCAAACCAGACTGTGCTTGCATTAGTACAAACCCCCTCCAGTTCCCCAATTTTACTAGACACAATCCACCTTGGAAGCATATACTGTCCTAGAATACATCCACTGGGCAATGACACAATGATAAATTCATAGGGTTTATATATTAATATAATTCTAAAGGACAAGTAGGTTTCACCCACAATAGCCACTGAGACTCCAGTTTTGCCAAGTTTGTCCAACCTTTGGTTGTTGAAGAAAGCAAAAGCATTCCACACACTTAAAATGCATCCATTCTCAGATTACACTTCTTTTTTTGTGCAAGGTTTTTTTTCTCCCAGCTATAAAAAGTAGAAAAGAGCATTGTGCACTTGTTGGGGAAGGAAGAAGAGGTATTCTGGGGTCTTGTTTGTAAAGACTCCCCCACTGTCCCCACTTTCTTTTTCTTTTCAGAACAAATCCAGAAGGGGGCAAGGAAAGTCTGTTAAAGCTCGCTGCATTCTCTTTATGTATCAGCCACCCCAATCAGCCCTGTCAGGACTTGTATCATCCTGCTGGACTGATGTGTAGGACACTCCTTCATTAGATAACAGATACTGTTAGACATTAGCTGGGTGTGGATGCAGACAGTTGCCTTGGAGATTGATCAGTTAGCCCATGTAACTCCATCTCCCATTGCTAAAGACCTAGTGTGAATTCCTAAACAATTTCCACATGAACAGTTGAGAAGGAAATACGTAAGAGAGGAACAACCCATACAAGGGGTTGTCACAAATTTCCCTGCAGGAACTTGCATCCTGTGCAACTTGATGGCTGCTGTCCCCTCTCCAGAGAGCCTTGGAGATCTTGGCATCTGTCACATCAAGCAGCAGGAAGTTCTGCAAGTAATGCTTATATCTAATGCTGTTCATTGGCAAATGTGGGAGAAGATAGAACCCTAATCAAAACATAACAATGATTCAAGAGCTGTGGAAGAAGGCAAAAATGAAGTTTACTCAGAAAAGTAAATTAAAGAAAAATTGCCTAGAGCAATATTCAAAATGGGGATGGGGGCTACCAGCCAGGATGGAAGAAGGGTTTCATTTGAGCCAGAATCTATTTTCATTGTGAAGGCTCACCCCTGAATCAGGTGAACAAAGAACTATCTTTCTGAGCATATGTGAAATGCACGTCTCTCACCATGAAATAGCCGTAGTCTGTCCCCAACTCCCAAATATATCTGAATCCAGAGAATTAAAGTGAAAGCATGCACTCTAGTGCAGGATGTGAAATGTCTGGGGGCGGGAGTGTCCCTTCAGGAAATTAGTGTTTGAAGAAAAGCAAGGGTGCACAACCTGCCATTTTTAGGTTATTTTCACAGGATGTAGGCAGCAGAAACAGAATGCGAGGAAAGAGTAAAGGGACTGAGCAAAGAGTGACTGAAGAAATGTGGGGAGACTCTCTTCAGTTCAGACCTCTAGCAATAACGATTTTTCCTCCCCATTTGCTGCGTAGAGACCGGAATGGGGGCGGGACAGGTGTGGGCCTGCTAATTTTTGGCTCTGGGGTTGTGCATCAGTGGCATGCCCTCGAGAAAAAAAGAGTTCCCCACCCCCATTGTAAAAGTTTATTTACTGTCTTCAATAGGTGCAGAAGCAAGTAATAAAACCTTGCCTCATTCTCCAAAATTATTTTTGACTTATTAACAGTCTGTTACAGTAAGTTTTGGGCCCAAGAGATTGATTTAAAAACAAACAAAAACAGCCCAACCCACCATAAGGAAAAAGTCTCTCCCCTCTACCACCCCCAGTTTAGTTTTTATGTTTTCAGAAAACTATCAGACCCCATCTTCCTGTTTGGCTAACAAAAGTATTAGTGTCAGACTGACTAGTGGTATCTCCTTCCCTTTTGCAGATAAAACCATGTGCCCCCAATGGCCTATGGGACCTGCACAGATGCCTTGCTACGTATTCCTGTCCTCCAAAGCATAAGGTGTGATACATACAATCCCCTCCGGTAAGGATATAAAATCCCATCAGACATGGTAGTGGCCTGCTTGTCTTTATCTAGGAGACTGCTCACCAGTATAAGCTTGGTGGATAGGGCAGCTCCTCAGACTATCTGTAGATGGCTTAGAGAGGTGGGAGCTGAGCTTACAAGCAGTGATGTGATGCCAGCTGACTTTTCCTTCATCACTGCCCCCACTCCAGCACTCCCTGCAGGAGAAAGGGATTAAACAGAAAAAAATCTTAGCAGCTCTGAGCAGATGGTATGTCTGTACCCTTTTACAGACACCCAAAATGTCATTCACAGCTGCCTGGATGGGGAAGGGGAGACACTGGGGCCGGAAGGCACTTGGAAGGAGACAGAGGAGTTGCAGGCACACAGGAAGAGAGGGACACAGAGATGACTCCGCTTAGGAGTTCATTTGGCAGCGAGGTCAGACAACTGACACGCCTACCTACACATATTCACCATGGCTCAGACTTCCACCCACTCGACCATACACGCATGCACACACATATGTACATTAACCACACTAGTGGCCCAACTCCCCAAAGCCACCCCACCTGCCTAGGTTCTGTACTGTAACCCAGGCTGTTCAGGTATTGAGGCACAACAGGCAGAGCTGGGCACTGGCCCACCCCCTTGGGCACTGGCCTACCCCTCGGGCACTTGCTCTCCCCACCCCAAACCACATGACAGCTTGGAAAATCCACATAATTGAACTAAAAAAGAGAGACTGTACAAAACCTCCAAGGGCAAGGAGAATGGAGAGACCCAGTTTGCCTTCCATTTCACCTCTACTCCTACTGTATCAGGACACGGGGCCAGTGCTAGTTCTGGTTATGCCAAGCTGGGTGGGGAACAAAAGGTACTTGGAACAGGAACAGGAACCACACAGGAGAAGCCTTGCCCTTCTGATGACTGCTTAAGAGTCACAGAGCAGTGAAACTTCCTTGGCCATCTTCATACCCTCAGTAATTCCTGTCCCCACTTTGCCCGGCTCACAGTGGTTGGTGTTGGTAGAAAGGGATAGAGGGCAAACTTTCTTAGGTGGTTGTTGTGGTATTTCTTAACCTGCCTTGAGCATGTCAAGCATCTTGAATGATCAAAGAGCATGCTGGGAAAGAAACAGAACACAGCTTGGGCACACTCTGCAACTTGTTCTGTGCAGCTCTGCTGTCAAAAGTCTGGGGTTCCTGTTCCTCCACGGACTTGACTAGCTGAAGAGGAGAGGAAGCTGCACCAGACTTGCATGCTAATATTGATCTCCAGGGTTCTGGTGGCCTCTACTCCCTGTTCCTCTCCCCCCACTGTGCAATGAGGGCGAGACTTCATTCTGCTTGCTACTTCACATTGAACACCATGAGGGGTCGCTCCTCACGTTTCTGCCAGGGGCTCTTCTTGTCGCCCTGGTCATCAGTCCCCTCAGAGGGTTCATTACTATCATCCTCTGGGCTGGTCATTGAGTCACGGCGCAGTTCGCTGTTGCTGTTACTGCTGCGGGAGCTATTGCCACGGCTGCGCCCATGGCGGGGAATAGTAGCAGCACGATGTTCAGTATTCTCATCCAAAAGGGGTGTCAGTGAGTTGTCCTCGGGTGAGCAAATGGCAGTGCGGCTCTCACTGCTGCTTTGCTCCATGTCAGTATCAGGAAAAACTAGCTTGGAGTAAGTGGGGCCCACAGGAGGGGCCAGGCGTTCCTCCTTCAAGCACTTGGCTGGTTTGGCTTCATTGACATCCACACCTGAGTCCAGACTGGCATCGTTGCTTCGGCTTCTCTCATTCCCCTGGAGATCAATGTAAGAATGGCGCACTTGTGAGGAGCGACCATCAAGTGACACAAACCAAGCGCGTGGATGCGGTTTCACACCGAGCTCCAAAAGCTTCTTCTCAGTCAGCGCCTGCAGTTCCCCATTCAACTGGGCCATGGTGGATTCATTCAACAGCACTGGGATGGTGACTGAACCACTGACAGACTGTGTGTGGGGACCCCAACCCTTCACATCACTGTCTTCTACTTCATGTTGCTGGAGCTGAAACTGTGGATGTTGCAGCTGCTGTTGAAGGAGCTGCTGCTGCCTCTGTTGCTGCTCCTGTGGCCCGAACTGGTGAGGAAGTCCCATGCCAACTGGATCCACATCTGATTTGTTCTCAGAGCCTGCTGTAGGCTGCTCTGATGGTGCCAGACGCATGTAGTGGGCTGGAATGACAAGTGTTGGCATGACATTCCGGTACATGGTATCCTTCATGTGGTCAATGGAACCACAGAAGATTAGCTGCCCAGGTTGGCTCAGTGAAGTGGGACGGGCAAGATGGTCTACGGACTGTGACATCATGAAGTCAGGGGGTTTGGAGTCCCCTTTGTGCCCTGTATAGTGGTCAAAAGGAGGAGGTAGAGGAGGTGGTGATGGGGGCTCCTGCAGGTAGGCCTTGCTGTCATTGCGAGCTTGCTTCCGTTGTGTCTCACTGCTCTTGTCCTCTGTGCGCTGATGCGAATAACCGCGCTTGTAGTCTTCCAGGGAAGGAGGCTCAAGTGTGCCAGGGACATCTGTGGAGTGGGCTGTCTTGTGTGAGTAGCCCTCCACCATCCGAGGGTAATCGTCCTTGAGATGGCTACCTCTCTGGCTTAGTGTGTCTGCTGTGGAGGCCTTGCTAGCATGCCGCACCTTCTGGGTTGACACTTGCTTGAAGAATTCTTCACGAGAGCTCTCAAACTCCCGAGATGAGGAGAAGGCTGACTTGAGGATAGGTGTGTGCACATCTGTGTCCCCACTGGATGAGGCAGTCTCCATGTGACTTGTACAAATCAGATTGATCTGAGACATTGATGTGGCCTGGTCTTTTTTGGAAGCATCTAGTGCTCCAGAGAATTGAAGCTTCCTGTGGTGCTGACGTGGCTTCAGACATAGTCTCCTAGAAAGGGAAAAGGAAAGAAAATGCCAGCACATATCATATTTGAAGTATCTGTGATTGTAGCAGAAGCACCATAGCTCAAGCTCAAGCTCAAGCTCAGTGGCATTGCATATGCTTTGCATAAATAACAATCCAGTTGAAGTATCTCAAATAACAGGGCTGGGAGAAGTCTCCACCTGCTGGAGATTGGTGAACTGCTGCCGGTCAGAGTAGACATACTAAGTTACAAAGAAAATGTGTCTGATTGAATAGAAGGCAGGCTTATATATTTAAAACATATAATTTATATTATACAATACGGCAAGAGTAGACATTATGCTATTCCAGGCATCTTTCTTGGCACCCACCTAGCGCTCCTACCTTTGTTTTAATTAATAAATGTTCTCATCAGTAGAGGTAATCACTTCAAAGTAAAGTGAAGGCCTCCAGGCACTATGGACTTCATCTCCCATGAGTGCCTCTGGCTGAGAGGCATTCTGAGGAAATGATAATGCCACCAAGAAGGGGAAAAAGAAAAGGGGATTCCTGTTAGGGAGATGCTAGGGAGAATAGTAAGGGGGTAGGGGTTGGAAGAGCAACAGTAAACCCGGTTGGGGGTGAGGTGCACAAAGCAGCACTGGTATAGCTTTAAAATGGAGAACTGGCCCAGACAACTGACATGGGCTCCTGAGTGTTCTTTCCCAGGGAGTGGAATCAAACACCTCTTTGGATTTTCAAGGACCTGCAAGTAATGAAAAGAATGGGGCATTGACTAGCACAGTGTTGATGGAAAACTTGGAACAAGTCCAGTTGAACATAGGCTAGAGCTCATTTGAAAGACTATTCTGTGCCATTGAGGGTGGTGAAGAAATTTTATTTTACCACTGCTGCACCTGCACAGAATTGCCAAATGGAGCTTTTAGGAATCGTTACAGGCCTAGTATGTTCCACCCCATAAAGAAGAGGGGAACCACTCGGTAGCCAATATGACCAATTTGCATAACAATTCATTTGCAAATAAAATGGATTGTATTTATAGCAACTTGGATGCCCTCATTGACAGAGGTCTGGTGGATGTAAATTTGGTTGCTGTTGTCCAGTTATATTTAATACTTTTCTATTGTATAGCCTAGGGATGTGGAGAGCTTTTTCCTGTTGATATGACTGGTGCTTTTGTCAAAGCCTTGGTCTCCCAGTTGGATTCAGAGGTGACAGGGTGATTAACACAATTGCTCCTGAATGTTTTCATCCCTTTCGCCTAGAACATTCAGCAAGGTATCAAAGTCTGCTGAACTCAAGTGAGTCAGATCCAGAGCCATCCATTCCTATGACTGCCACTTGATATAAATAAATCTAATTAACAAATAAAACAAATATTAGCCCAGGAAAAAGCTGGAAGACTGTATTTGTTTTGAATGAGAGAGGCTCTAGAGTTCTGAGAGGGGACTCATCTTCTTTACCAACTCCCAGCTAAAGGAGGGGGCTAAAGAGAATTGATGTCAAGACACTGGAGCTTTTGAGTGAAGCAGTGTTGGCTAAAGGCTGACAGCATCATGGAGTGCTGCATGCCTCCTACTGGGGACCTGATCTGGTATGAGGACATTGGTAAAAGGTCTTTTAAAATGTATCCATCTTAGTAACAGCAGCAACAGAAAATGTGTCATAATTACAGAAACAAACCAACAAGTTTCAGACAATCCAGATTACATAGCCAAAGGACAAAAGTGGACTGACCTAGGAGGCCCCTTCCACCTCTCTTGCCTGTATGCCATTATGCCACAAGCCACTAAAGAGCATCCTGTCCACAAAGATGCTTGGTGAGTGGAATACCTTCTAAGAGATATAGAGAACAGATGTTCACACAGCACCACCATCCACTGATGGGTGTCGCATGAATAAATTACTGCATAAGCACTCTGCAAAGACATGAAAAATGAAGACTGTATCTTTAGAGAAAAAAGTCAACTTGCAGGGATTTGCAAAAATATGCAAGAAAGCACAATGCTATTCGAATGTTGCCCCAAAGACTGCTGTAGGCCAGCATAATGCACTGCCTGATGAGGAGGAGGAAGAGGAGGAGAAGCAGCCACCAGTGTTGCAGAAGTGGTTAGAGCGCTGGACTGGAACTCAAGAGATTCAGGTCTAGACCTCACTCGGCCATGAAACTCACTGGGTACTGTTCAGCCAGCAAAGGACTCTCAGCCTAACCGACCTCACAGAGTTGTTGTGAGGATAAAATGAAGAGAAGAATATTGTAAACCACCTTGGGTTCCTCACAAGAGGAAGAAAGGAGAGGCATACATTTAATGATAGCAGCAGCAGCTTATTTCATTTGTATACTATGAAATAGCTGAAGCTTTCTGAATTGCCCAGAAATGGTGGACATTGAGATCTTCCTCAGGCCCCTTGACAGGGCACAGGCAACACTTGCTTTCCTTTCATCTTCCTAATAGCTCAAAATACAACACCTTTCTGACAGTTGACTTATGCCATGGCTTCTCCTGTGAATGCACGGGCTGGAACAGAATGAGTGTGACACAGTCTGCTTCCCATGAAAAATTAAATGTAGGCAGAAAAGCAGGGTGTGTAGAGAAAACTGCTCCAGTTAAAGGTACAAAGCTAGGGGTTAGCAGAAAGAACCTCATCCTCAAATAATCTCCTAGAAAAGGGGCATGTGTGGCTATTGGCTCTAATGAAGGACCTATGAGAGCTGTGACTACATCACTCAGCTTCCATGAAAGAAATTTGTGAACTTACAGGTACACTGAGAAGGGCAGCCCTTTTGAGAAATTCATATACATAAAAATAGCTGGCTATGGAGTCCCTCCATCTGCATCCTAAGATGCTGTCCACTGCAGCCATCTAATCTTTGAGAGTACCTATATTATGTTCCTTGAGCAGCCCTGGCTGCAAGAAGTCCAAGATTCCCTGAATGCTGCCCAAGCCCTGCGCACTGCTAGAACAAATGCATGAAACCTTGCAGATGCTACAATGCATTCCGTTGGCAGAAATCCTCCTGGAAGATGAAAGGTGCTCAGTGCTTCATCCAGATCTGGGCAAGCCCTTGTAGCTCTGGATGAAAATGAAAGGTGGGGACCTGTGTGAACAAATCTCTGTAGCACAGGACTTCCATTCCTTCTGAATAGACAGGTTTGGCAGGTCCAGAAACCATGGACATCTGTGTCAGTGAGATCATAAAATCATGGAAGAGTTGCAAAGGCCAAGAAGGCCATTAGGTCCAACCTCCTGCCCAATGCAGAACTCCAAATCAAACCATCCTTCTCAGATGGCTGTATCTTGAATGCCTCTAGTGTGCCTCTATAATCTTCCTAGGTAATTAGTTCCATTGTTGTGTTAAAACTTGCACCAAAGTTCTTTTTGAAGTTCAGCCAGAATTTGGTTTCTTGTCACTTCACTGCTTTATTCCATGCCCTATACTGGCATAATGGAGAAGAGATCCTGGCCCTCCTCTTTGTGACAACATTTCAAGTAATTGAAGAGTGCTATCATATCTCACCTCAGTCTTCTCCTGGCTAAATATACCCAGTTCTTTCAATTTCTCCTCACAGGGTTTTGTTTTCAGTCCCTGGATCATCCGGGTTGCCCTCCTCTGAACCCTTTCCAGTTTGTTTGCATCTTTCTTAAATTGCGGTGCCCACCTGTGCAGTGCTCCAGGTGAGGTCAAGCAGTGCTTAGTAAAGGAGAAATAGTATTTCACATGATTTGGAAGTGAGACTTCCATTAATGCAGCCCAAAATAGCATTTGCGTTTTTGCAGCCAGATCACATTGTTGACTCACGTTGAGCTTGTGATCTACAATTCCAAGATCCTTCTCATTTGCAGTACTGTTGAGCCAAGTATCAGACAAGGATCCCAAAATTTTTCATCTCCTGGGCCATGAACTCCCTGACTCACTGGAGGAGGAGAATTCTTGGTCTGAATCTGACCTTTGCTCCCTTACCCCCACCTCAAAACAAATGGGCAACTTCAAGGTGCATGTGTCCTACTTGATGTACTTCTCCAATGTTGCAGGCTGCTGCTGCAAGAGCCTGCACAGTAGACTCTAGAGAGTCTGCCCCCAGCTCTGATGCTGACTCTGTGCTTACTTCCCCTGTCCTGGTGGTGAGGCAGGCAGCTGTGTGTATGTGCCAGTTCAGGTAGGGAGGGTGAGAGTAGGAGAGTCTCTTTTTCACTTTCCTTCCAGATGGGTCTACCTTAAACTGGTTAGGGCGGCAGAACCCAATGGCACTCTGCATTTCATGATCTGGCCTACCAGTGGGAGAAGATGCTGTGATTTCTTCCTGCTGGCCAAAATAAAAAAGCTCCTCCTGTCTATGAGCAATCCAGGCCCCTAGCTAGGATATGTTGTGGCTACGGTACAGGAGACAGAGAAAAGAGAAGACAAGATTGATGGAGGAAGGGAAAAAAATAGGCCCTGTTCAAAAGCAAAACTAATGAGGTCATTGGAACTTGAGAGAAATTCTGATTCACCAACACTAGACAGAACTAGCCTGGGAGGGCAGAGTAGCTCCTTCCCCTAGCAAGCATTTTCACTTCTGAAGGAGGAGGAGCTAACCCAAGTAATGGAATGCCCTCTAGAAGATACATGAGAAGGCATACATACTCAAAGGCACTATTACATAGGTGTGTTTACTGAGATGCAGGGTTCATGGGCAGTGGGTGAAGGAACTGATCCACAACTAATCAACCACAAAGTCTGCTTGATATTTTGCAACGACTGATGTAAAACTGTTTGCAACAGCTGTCAAATTCCAGAGACTATTCCTGCAATCCTCAGCTCAGCTGCCTTCCCTTATGCTCAGACCCAGCTACAGCGTATCATTTACAGAAGTGCTTCATTATTCAAAGTATGATTCCTTCATTTCTCAGAAATAATACTATTATTCCCATTTTACTGATGACAAATGGAGGGTTAAAACTGACATTGTGGCAAAGATGGGACTTGAAACTCTAAGACTAGTTCGTCATTCATTCCAGTGACAAGGGTTCATGTAAAATGGCTAACATCCAGATGAAATAAAACTTAAAATACTGTAAGTAACCCTTCCCTTTACAAAAGTAGGGAGGGTGAATTTTAGCAAAATAACAATGTGATGCAAAAAGGGTTTTGTTTCAGGACAGGATTTGAAAGCATTAGATGGGGATAAAAGTGAAAAACCAGAGGCACTCACCTGCAATAATAGATAAGCAAGCAAAGCAGAATGAGGACCAGCAATGCCAGAGCACCCAGGATGGTAAGCAGGAAGATGGTGTGGTAGGTGGCAATATCTTTTATGCCGGCTGCTGCACTTGTCAATCCTGTGAAAAGATAGTTCTGAAGACAGGGCAGGGCAGGACAGGACAGGAGAGGACACTGCTTTCACCCCCTTTCCCTCCATCCCACACTAGCTGAAAGCTAATTTATTTCTATACACTATTTCTGATAAAATGCTCAGTGCAGTTTGAAAACATTTCAATTAATAAAATTAGCTATTACAACTATTTATAAATTTAAACAGCAACAACTAAGGCAGCAACAATGTAAGTCACATAAAACAGTAAGAAAGCCTATAAGAATAAAAGGCTAAGAAAAATAAAAAAGATCACTCTCTGGCAGAGCATTCTGTTAACTAGAGCACCACATTTGAGAAGGCGTTCCTTCTGGTAGCAACCAGCCTTGCCTCAGCTTTCACAGAAAGACCTCTGCTGAAGATCTCAAAGTACAAAACAATATATATTGGGAACAGGTCATTTTCCTAATATTCTCATTTTTGGTCACAAAGGGCTTTAAAAGTGAAAACAAGCACTTTGAATTTGGCTCAGAAAGAGACCAGGAGCCAGTGACACAACATGTGATGAGGCTGCCCAGTCCCCTTTAATCATCCAGTAGCTGTATTTTGGACTCCAGTTCTCAGACCATCTTTGAAGGTAGGCCTGCACAGAATGCATTACAATAGCCTTATCCTGGAGGTCTCTAACACACAGATGTCCCCCTTTACCATTCCTGCTTGAGATTATGTGACTCATTACAGGACCTTAGGAAAAAAGAAGACACACTCTATTCATGGTTCAGGGTTGCTGAGCATTTCATGAACCCCAAAGAGTTTAAATTAAATTAAATTAAACTATATAAGTGTTTATATTCCTGGCATTAAAAACAGATTCTAGGGTTAAAAGTCCCCACCCTTATAACCCCAAGCACAACCAGCCAGTCTGTAGTTACTTAATTTTTTAAAACATTCAACCCAATATTTTTAGATTAAATTATAAGGGAATTTTTTAAAAGCTAAAATTTGAGATATACTAATAATGCTAAAACAATCATGGAAGATTTACTAATTTGCTAACACAATTTTCATTTTCTTAGAGCATCAAAAATTTAAAAGTTCAAATCAGTACTATTTCATAAATTTACAGGGAAATTTAAATGTGGAGGGTTTTTATTCCCCATATTATTTAGACTCCCCCTTTAAGACTCTCTTCCCTTTAATCCCAGATTTTTTAAAAAGTGATTCTACAGCATTAACTGGCAGTGATTACTCAGTGGTTCTATGCAAAGTGCTGCACAAAAACTCAGAGGCAGTTCTTAGCAAGTAATAGTTTGTAAAATGCAGAGAATGTTCCTAACATAAGTGGGGTAGTCTTACCGGTTGTCGGAGACAGCACAGCAGCTACCCAGTAGCCCAGCTGTGGAGAGACAAATGTCCAGTAAAGCTGGTTCCCTTCCTTGCGGATGAGTCCAGTCCCATTCCGGATCCATAGACCTGAGGAAAAAAAGAACTAGCTAATCAGAAGTAACAAACAGAACACTCCTGCCCCTCCAAAAAAGACAAAATTATCCAAATCCCTGCTCTAAAAGGAAGAACAGTCACTCATCAGCACTATCCCAAAACAAAAACAAACAAAGCAAAACAGTAGAGATCAGAGGAGAGAGCGTAGGTATGACAGCACTTGCATAGCAAGCAGCTCTAGATCATGGCTCTGTCTAACATGGTTTTGTTATATAGGTGAGACACATAGTAGGGAAAGGAAACTGCCAACTTAGGGGCACTATGAAGCCACCCAGCATAGCTCCTGATCCTAAAGAAAAAGCCTTGCCCCCACCTCAACCAGTAATTTCAGTAGTTTTCTCCAAAGTTTTGCAGGCTTGAGCCCTTTATTAACCCGTCTACCTCAGTAACAACAGTAACAGACTTTATGACAAAGTGGTTCACTTATGCTGCTCACTTTCATGGGTGAGCCAAGACACAGACAAATTGGAACAAGCAACCTTTGTGCACAGGATGTTGCATACGACAGTGTAGAAAGAATAATATATTCTCACATCTTTCTGTGACAGCTGGGAAAGGTCAATGTGAGAGAATCAAGAGCTACTGCAGAAATACAGCAAACAGCTCAAAATACTTTCAGCAGCAGCAAGAACCTATCCGTAGCTGGAAGCATAGTCCTTCTGCACCAAGCTACCATTTACAGACATGGGATTGTTCTTGCCTGCCCCAGGAGTCTTACTAATGGACTGTTATAAGCAATTAGGTAGTTTTAGGCCATGCACAGTGTCTGGATCCAAAGAGGTTCTGGACACTGGTCAGTGTGTCACTTCACAAATACCCCTGTTTGTGTATGGCATATTCCAAAGTAAGCAGTATCACTTTTGTCTTGTATATCTGTAATTACAGAATATAATGATTAAATAGTTAAACATATTAACAGGTTCATAAGAATGCCACTTACCACTCTTGATGTCAAAGCGCCAGGCTGGTACACTGGTGGCTGATGCAGCGACAGTGTCAGGTGGCAATGGGATAGAAAGGTGGACAGAGCCTGAGAGCTGAACTTCTGTCCCATTACCAGTGAAGAGGTGAATGCTGACTGCAACAATAGGCACCAGTTCCAGCCATGTGTTACTGGCTGTGGGGATACAAAGAGTTAGGAAAAGGCTCTCTCCCACCTTCAAAAATACCCAGAAACTCAGGAAGTTTTGGTGCTTAAGAGAGGACCCCCTCCCTCCCCCCACACACACACTGGTGGTAAATTGAGACAGTACCTACCTAAATATCATTTTGATGCTCCCAAATCCACTCCAAGGCAGGCCACATTACCCTGTGTCAGTTCTGGTTTCTCTATCCTTACCACCCTATGTTCCATCATAATTATTTTTCACCAGACTCTGGCCCCAGGTGCTTACCATTGCTATTGCTTTCAGCTCCAATGAAGGACGGGAAACCTCTCATGTCTGGCCCACTACTGGCAGCAGTCAGAGAGGCTGAGAGTTGGCTGTAGGTGGAGCTGCGGGGCAGGCGGGCAGATTTGCGTTGGAACTGTGCCCATGGTTGGCTCTTTGCTCCTGCAATGATCAACAGTTTCACCTGCTGGACCAGTCAGCCAGAACTCGTAGAAGAACATAAGAGACAACTAAACCTGTAAAGCTTTAAGTGCCAAATTCTGGTTTCGATACTGGATCCAAGCCCTTCAATATGTGACCTTATAATCTGTAAAGCACCCCTGAGCATGGTCTATAGAACTCCTGGTAAAATGCTTTGGCTTTCAAGAGTTCTTGTGTCCTGGCACCAAGCTGGCAGATATTGTGATTGCCTGAATTCCCCAAGTTAGGTGGAATTCAGCACTGGGTACAGAGTTCAGGATCCTGGGTCTACATGCATAGATTTGAGAGCATAAGGATGAAACTAGAGGTGGGGACACAAGAATATGCTTGAGTAAAGAAAGGAATCTCCAGTACCATCCTTACTTCCTCCTCACAGATAAAAGGCAAGAAATTGTGCAAAGCAAGCAGAATGAAGCTGACTCTATGGAATCACCTGCCAGATTTGCCCACTAACCCACTGGACTAGAAACAACTGAATATTTTCCATGAAGCCAAAAACCAGGGGCATCTACTATTTCCAGCACAGTAATCCATCTTAGCCCTCTGGACTCCTGTGCAAACCACACCTTACTCAGGTGCACACTTCAGCTCATTTGCTTATAGCTCAAGCACAGGCCCAGAACTTATCCAGTCCCCTCCTCTCATCACCTAGTTCAATTCAATAACTTTCCTGTTCATACCACAGCAAACTGACACAATGCACTTGCAGCCACTTGAATATCTACCTTGCAAAAACTGCTAGAGATATCTGAGGACACACTGACTTCACCTTTTTTACCCTTGATTAATGCTTGCCAGCAGCATGGAGACGGGGCAGAGTGATGAGGTGGAGCAAAGTATTTTCTCAGCCATTGTGTGGGTTCCCCATTCACAGAGACAAGAGTCAGCTTGGGTCCTGAGCCCCTTAATGCCAGCTACATGTCATCTATGGCCTATCACTTGGACTGTGGGGGGAGGCTTACCTGGTGAACCAAGAAGAATCTGTACTAGATCATCATAAAGGATTAGTGTCGCAGGACGCTCTGGAAGCAGATAGAGGCTGACAGAGGCATAGACTGCAATGGGAAATTGGGAAAAGAGAATCAGATTATTTGAATCCCTTTTATTCCAGCAGCAAATGTTCAGTTACACCCAGAACATCCTGTCTTTGGAGCAAGTGCTCCTAAGGTGTCCCCAAAATTGTGTTTGTGTGTGGGGGTGGGATGGAATAACTGCTAAAAGAAAATTGGAAGTAAAATGAGGATGTGCAAGTTGCTCTGGACTGTCATCTTCTCATCTTTTATAGTAGCTCAGTTAAAACATCATGACAAACTGGTTTGTACTAACTTAGTTTAGAACTCAAACTGCGTTTCTATATTTTAGAATTGCACGTTCTGGCTGGTTAGTACTCCTGTCTCTAGGTACAATTGTTTCCAAGAACAAAGAATTAGCCATAACTAGTTAATCAAATTTATATCCCACTTTCCTGTATAAAATACAGGGTGGCGAAGAGCATTGAGGGTTATTATGAATGAGTTGTGTGCTGGTGGATGCAACCCTATTGGTATGTCCCAGTACAGCAAGTTGCTAAATTAAACTAAATCAACCTTAGCAAGTTGTTATGTCATCTGAACCATTCCTTTACAAACCAGGATTTTAAACCAGGGCTTGTGCTTGTTTATAAACCCTGCCTAATAAGGGAAGTAGAATTCCAGGATGCCTCATTTGGACAGCACATAAGGTTTTCACTTACCAGTGAGCTTAGAACCTGTATAAAATGAGAGGAGCCACATGGAAGTGAACAGGGTGCATTCACCATCATGCAGCTCACTCATGATATCCCAGGATTCTCTAGGATTCTGGTTTACAAATTTGTGTGAATACAGCCATTCTCTCCTGTGGCCTTTAGTACCAGCTATACACTGGTGGCACCTATCAAAAATGAGAGCTTTCTTCCTCCCTTCAATACTGCGTTTCCAACTGCTCATCTGAAGCAGTATAATCTCATGTGTCCAAGTCTAGACTTCTCATATTTTTGCCCAAGTCTTTCTCACTTTGTACACTTTCTTTACCCATACACTTAATGAAAACATTAGCACCAACCCTGTTGAACAGGCAACATCCTTGGCCTTTTCTTTTTCTCATTATCTGTTATCCTCCGTATTCTAGTTCACACCCTTGTAATCACATTAAATAGTGCTATCTCTCTGGTTCCATCACTTTTATCCAGTGTTTTTCTGGCAATACCATTCTCTTCTCCTATTACTCTGACCAAATAGCACCCTATTTATAATCTTTGTTCATTCAGCTAATGAAGCTCAGCCCTCTCTCCTCTCCTCTCCTCTCCAACCATCCTTATATATGGGATCATAACCAGAACATCTGTGTGAAGTCACTTCTTTAAATTTCTTCTCAAAACTACCTTTTGCAGCCCTGTAGCACTAATATTCTAAGCATAAGTACAAGTCATCGATATGAATGCATATTCTTCTCATTTATTCCTGCCTTGGAAATACTAACAACAACAACATACTGCATTGCCTTCATTACTTCTGTTATGAATCAAGTGGTCAGGTAAAGGAATAGAGTGGTAGACTTCATGGATGCATAGAGTTGCATCCGATGTAAGCAGGAACTGTATACAACTCATACTTATCCTTTAAAAAAAAGCTTTGTTAGACTTCCATTTTTAGTACTTTTGTCATTTAGATCTTTCAAGTGTTTCCATAACCACATCCTAGAGCAGCCAAGACCCTGTCCAAAGACAAATGGCCAAAACAGGAAAAAGCAGAAGATGCTGGACAGCTGGCTCCTGCAGAGTTTGTCACAGCCCACCCATTTCCTTTTCCACAAAGGGTTGCAACCAGAGCACAAGCTGAGCCATTCTTATGTTTTCTATGTATGTGCTTAGGACAGAGCCCCAATATTAATAATTATAACAGTGCCTCTGAACATGCCCAAGTGCTCTTTCCTATTCATTTCTTAGTTTTTAATTTGGGGAAAGTTTTGAAGAATGTCAAAAGCTACTTTTGAGGCAGGTTTGTGCTCAACACCTCTCTTTTTAGAAATAAAACATTTGTACAAAACTACCTGCTAAGAAGATGACAGCTCTAAAACTGACTAGCAGAGCAGGACAACCACTTAATTGACCAACAGAGCTGCACAAAGACCTGGCTAAAGGCTACTACTTTACAGGCATGTAATGATAGGTTTGGGAGATAAATGATTGACAAAGCCCAGCTGTAGCAGGGAATTTGGTTTTGCGTTTTATTTGAGGTATTTCCAGACAAGGTTTCTATTGTGCCCTACTTCATACACAGACTTTTACAGGGAAACCAGATGACACTGTTTTTCAGTTCTAATCCTCCCATCTTTTCCCATGACTTCTGTCTTTTTTCTTACCAGAAAACAATCCATTAACAAGGAAAAGTAAGAATAGTTCTTGATTGGTAGAACTGGGAACCCTTTATTTGGATGCACTTCTTTTGTTAAACCATTGAGACATTGCTGCTACCACATTTTTGAGGAAGCTTGGGCAGGGCAATCTCAACAGACCCCCTTCCTCAGTGAGTCTACCTTCCCACTGCCACTGTCATTAGCTCTTAATTTTCCTCATCATCTTTATCATCAGTGCTACCATTTGCTTGTTTCTGTGGTAGGGACCCAGTAAACAAGCAGTCAGTGGCATCTCTTGATCCTCCTTTCCACCACTACTGCTGTCTGGGCTACAGGGAAATTGTAAACAGCAACTCCACAGGTCTCATGTCAGTGGTCCCTGCTAGGTCAAAGGTCCTTGGCATTTGCCCAACCATGCCTACCATGGACATCGGCCCTGTATTGGACTCAGAAACCCTTGCCAATTTACTAGTGATTTGTTTTACATCCCAATCCACCTTCTGCCCACCCCTACTCTATTACATTCTCCTCCATCCCTGTGTTTTGTTTCTTTCTTTCCTCATTCCAACAGCCAACCAGCTCACTCAGCAGTCCATGACCTTCTTACTGAGTCCCTGCCCCCACCAGTAGAATTTTTTCCCCCTAAAGATTTTTGAGCTCCCCATGGCTTCCTTTCATGCATGGATGGTGCTATTTTAGCTACATAAGCATCTGCACTTGGAGAAAGATGGCGGGGGAGGGAACAGAGGCACAGTACTTCAGTCTTACATGGAAACTGAATCTCAACACTTGTCTGATGGAAACAATTTAAAATTTGGAACATCTTAGCATTTAGGAAGTAAGAAATATAACAACAAATTGTGACCTTGTTCATTTTAAGCAAATTGAGCCTGTTTTGATCTGAATTATATCAAAAGTCTTGGTAAAGCAAAAAAGCAGACTCTGGGGGAAAATGCTTGACTCTTGTGGCTTACTTATTATAAATCCTATAAAGTTTGCTTAATACAGAATAAGTGTATTCACACATGCAAAAACCCACCCACCCAATGTAAAACACTGGGTGTTATATAAAAGTTTACCTCAATTTTAAAGCAGTAAAGGACAATAAGAGGGTTGTCCTATATATATAAAATGGATTTTATTTATTATTTTCCATATCTAGAGACAAAAATGGTTTTAATGAATGGAAGAAAAATCAAAACTCTTAAAAGGCTGACACACTTTCACAAAAACTTAAACTCCACAGAACTGCACTATGAAACAATGACAAGCTTGCTGGTCCTGGACTTTTGGGAAGATTGCTCTCCACAGCCACAAGCTGAACACATTTTGCTGCCTGGAATCAAAACATAAAACACTGTCTGCCCCCTACTTCCATTTCACGTATAGAAACCAGCTGGACTGACAGCTGAATCTTACATCCATACTGGAAATGGGACCCTATCCTTTACTGCTTTTGAGGGCAGCAGACTTGCTTAAGGGCTGTAATGCAGACCACATGATACATAATGCTATGTTTTTCAACACTTCACTGCTTGCTAACTACTTAATCTGGCACCTGTTTACTACCTGCTTAGACAAATGCTGCAGTACAATGGCATAAAACACATGCTGTGAGCAAAGCAACACACATGTAACTATGATGCTGGAGTGTGTGGTCTGGGCTGGCTTCTTTTCTGCCTGCTCACTTAGTCAGGGGCTTTTCCTAGACATGTTCTCTGGGATGCACAGGGCATCAGCAGTCACCAAAAGAAGACAGGCAGTCAGGCCAAAGCAGCAATAGCCAAGGTAACTGCTACCAGGGAGCTGACACAGAGGGTTGAGAACTTCCTGTGCCGGGGGCAGCTGCAATCATCCCTCACATCCACTGCTGAAAGCAACCAACTTACTCTGACTAAAGGCAGAGCCAGCCCTGTGTAAATGAAATTAGTCATGCTCCCTAAATAGTTGTGAACGTAAATGTGTGTGTGCATGTGTGTGTTGCGGGGGGAGCAACTGAAGCAAAGATGATTAAAACTCCAACCAACTTACTGCAGGTTTCTTTAGATAACTCCCACAAATACTGCCATCCTTGATGCCAAACTCCTATTCTCTGCTTACATTACAATATGAATTCTAGTGTAATTAAACTTAATCTGTCTTGGAGAGGGGATTTTGTAAGGTATGTATGGATTGCTATGTTTGAGGATTCTGTTTCGATGTAGAGGGTTTGAAAGTGTCACTGGTAGGAAAATTAATTAAAATCAAATAATTCTGCCATTTGAGAGGCATTATACCTTAGTGGAAAAGCACATGCTTTGCATTCAGAAAGTCCCAGGTTCAGTTCCTGGAATCTCCAGGCAGAATTGAAAAAACTTCTGCTGAAAACCTGGAGAGCTATTGCCAGTCAGTGTTGATAATAATAGGCTAGAGGAACCAGTGGTCTGAGATAGCCCTTCCTCTCAGATACAGCAAAATGTACACTGGTAGTAAGGTCACCTCATTGACCCATCTCAGGCTTTGGATGCAAAAATCATAGCTGACATATAGTGCTATCAATAATTTCTGCCAGTAGGGAAGAAATAGGAGGCAACCAGCTAACCAATGAAAACACATACAGACACGTATACAGAGGTGTGTCTGCTTACATATATGTTTGGGCATAAAGAACACTAAGACGGTGCAAGCACACTGTGATTTGGTCATAGACTGAATTTGCTTCTAGTGCGCATATCTGACATTGACATCCTCCATGGATGGTGCATGTATCAGAAATGGAAATGAATCCAAAGCACATGGAGTGTTCACTTTATGTCTTTGCCTGTCCAGATGAACACGGGCCTTAATTTCTAAGAGAGATGCCCAGACTCAGAACATCTTGGTAACAATTCTCAGCTATCTAGATGCCTTATCCCCTAATTGCCATCAATCACTAGTAAAGGAATGGATTTCTGCACCTGTTCAGAAGCATGCTCTGTTTTATTGCTTTTTCCACAACTGAGTCCTGACCCTGAAAACAAGTTATGAGACCATGACCTAGTAAACTCTTATTCAAATTAGCCCAGCATATGGAAGAGATTTAACTGCATTCTCCTAGGGGCAGGATCCATGCTCAACCTACTATCAAGGAAGCCTACCACCTAACACTGTATACTTACATTTCATCTACATTTGGCTAGAGCACTGTAGGGTTTGATCTAAAGCTGGTGTCCCTTGGAAATTGGCCAGCATAGTATTCCCAGCAGATGTACATTGGTGTAATGCTACAGTAGTGAATCCCCACTGCAACCCAACTAGCACAGAAGCCAAAAATGGAAAAGTGTTGTGAGCACAGAATCAAAGTTGGAAAGAATCTCCAATATTATCTACACTAGCTCCTGCTCAGTGCAGGCTCTTAGAAGTATGTCACCTGCACACTCCAGACACCCCACATGATCCACTGTATGCAATGAGTATCATGGAAATGTGGAAGTAATGGCATCATGCATGTCTCATATGTTTCTTCTCACTCCTGTGCCACAGCTGTAGTGACAGGAATTCATTCATTGCAAAGAAAAAATATGCAAATATCATGTACCATGTGTACATTATGCATTGGCCCAACTGTAGAGACTGAACAAGGATTCCTCCTGTAACCGTCAGTAGCAATGCTTTAGCCAGAGATCCACAGATACCACTGGAGACCACAGACAGCTCCCTTGTACAACAAGCTGTTAGTACCTATCCATGAGTCTCCTTTGGCCTTCCTCAGGTAGCCCTCCAACGGGTGCTGGGGCAACAGCATTGTCTACATGGATGGCGAGCCAGGAAGACACCAAGGTCTCTACAAGCAGCAGAAGCAATCACCGTGCTCCATTATTATTCAGGGGAACTCCAACTATCTAAGCTTACAGAACCCCTGATCAGAGCAAGCCACCTGGCCAACAGATATAGCGGTGCAACCGTGGAGAAGCAACACCATGACAAATAATTCCTGCTCTATCGCTTTCTGTGTTTTATGTTCTTAGTATTTTAGAGAGCTTTAGAAGCTGGTTAAATAAGTTCATAGAGGATCTATTGATCAATGACTAGATTAGTTACAATAACTAGATTAACACAGCATGACAACCCACTTCGGTTGGCAAGCCACTTTGGACAAGCTATAGCTTTCTCTAGGGTGGTCATGACACCTGAACCTGGGCTTCTGATCCTATCATGGTTACTGGGAACTAGCCAGCTAGTCACTTGGAAAGAGTACAAAAATGTTTTTCTTGCCAAACTTACTAGACCACTGCCAGGTACCCTTCAAGTATCCTAGTGGCTTTCTCGAGAAACTTAGCTTTGTGTCATTTGCCATGAACACGAGCCCTTTCAGCTCACCACGGCTTTTTTGTCCCTGTAATTCATCCCTTTTTTTCTGGAAATTACATTATCTGACTCAACAACCAGGTTCCATGATTCCTGTTTTGACAGCCACTGCCAGCCACTTAAAAGTGCCCAAGCAGCACCCGAACCCTTTCCATGGTTGCAAATTTTATTTTGTGGGGTGAGGGGGGGAGCTAATGTGCACGAATATTTGTGCATATTTTTAAATACACTTTTTAGTCTTTTGCAAGTGCTTACCTGTGCACTTATAGAGGTCTGAAAATGTGTAGCTTTACCTGGCTAATGTCTAGGGAGGTACTTTGCCTAGCAAAGTGAATCATTTGGACATGAACCCAAAGAAGTTACAAATAACCTTTTCCCCTATGAAAACATGTTCCTCTGAAAAAAACATAGAGAGCTCTGTCAAAAACACCCCACTTAAAAAGAGCTGGACTTTGGACAGCTAACTGGTTCCTTTTAAAAGGGAGTGGCTCACAGTTTTCCATGTTTCTGAACACCCAGAGTCTGTGGAACAAGTGGAAAGTGAAACCACCCTTTGGACAGTCAAGTCCACCCCCCACCCTGCCACACACACACAAATCTTGCTGCAAAGGGTATAAATCGCACCACTTTTTATCAGCACAGCTCACTTGTATTTTTAGTTTGGCTTCACAGCTTGCCTTTTGACAGCAGATAAACCAAAAGGGGGAAAAACTATTTGGAGCATCTTTGAGTCAATGTCAAGGCTTAGAACCTGCTGCATTTTGCTAGTATGCTATTTAATACCAAGTGCTGGGGAGCCTTATGTGGTTAGCCACAGCAGTATCTTGAATTAGAAGGTTCTCTGATGAAATCCAACAGGGATCTTATATTATGTACTTGGCATGTGATTTTTTAAAAAAGAAATGACTGAGGACTGTGAGCGTGCACACCCCCAGGATATGACATTCATGAACACTTGGTAGAATCTAACTGTGCAACACTGAGAGAACTAGCCATTTTCAGGTCATAACATTTTCAGGTCATAACATTCTCTATCAAATTGACCATCATTCTATTGAGAAACAAATGATCCTCTTGTTCTACTTACTACAGCATTGCATCCTTCTTGAATATTTCTGTAATAGCACAACATATCCTGGTAAAGGTTTGCATCCTTTATACCTCCCCACACCCCTCCATGAAATGCCCATTACACACAACACAGCCATCCTATCTGTGGCCTATGTGCCACCCAGGCTCCTCAACCCATGATCACCCACAACTCACGTGGCAGTTTGGTGACACGCCAAGGAACAGAGTTTGTAACAAAGCCACGCTTGGAGGCTGTGACAAGAATCCAGGTGCCGAGGCGATAGCTGATAGGGAGCATGCTAACACCCTCATGATCAGTGGTGCCTGAAGCCAGAGATGTTTGGTTGCCATACACTTCCACAGCTGTCTGAGGCAGTGGGGATAAGTCACTGTTCTCATATACCTGGACCTTGATCATCACCTCTGTAGAAGAGAAAGAAAAGACAGAAGGGTATGTGAGGATGGTTGTTGGCCCAGCAATGTTTCCTCCCTTGATTCAGAAATTTTTCCAACTGAAAATAACTTATCTGTTTCCTCAGTGCCCCTTTCCACCTTCCTTGATATGTATGTTTCCCAATTCAATTGAACTAGAGACTTTCAGCAAAAGATGTGGCTAATTAAAATTAATATGGCTCAGCTTCCTCTATGACTTCCAACTACTACTTCCTCCAGCCTATTTGGTCCATGTCCTTTAAGGGGTCTTGTCCATTTTTGGCTAACTCCAGCAGCATGGTACCTCTTTGAATTCATCCTTCTAACACATTGCCTCTCCTTTTATTTCCTAGGCCCTATATGATATTTTCTCTCAGACAATCCAACTGCTCATTGTTCTCATGTCAACCTGTCCTATTTTTCACACTATTTTATTTATTGCTGCCCTATTTTATTTATTGCTGACTCTCCCTCTTTGCATAGTTAAGACTGTGAATGTTTAGGAACATCACAACAGATCAGGTAATGGTTTGTGTATGTGTAGATCTCATAAATTACAAGCAATCTTCATGCAAATTAGAGCACCACAATTTTACTTACTTTACTTTTACTTTTATTTGCCAGTAGCACCCATCCCTTCTCTACGTTGTGAAGGCTGCCCAGCATAAATCCCATCAAGTTGCACATGAATTGAAGAACTTGAGAGAGGTAAGAGGTTTCCTTTCATTTTGCACAGGGGCTTGAAGAAGTTAAGAACTAACAATCTCTTGTACTACTCAGAAAAAAATGCCTGTTTTTAACCTTCACATCACAGCACAAAGATCTGTTTCCCAACTCCACTGTGTAGAGACCAAGGATGACAACAAATCAAAGATGGGTAGTAAATCAGACTAAGATTTCTAGACTTCCTGCAACAAGTTATTCTATTTCCACACTGAAAATTACACAAAAATAGTGTGTGGAGGGGAGAGGTTAAAGGTCAATAGACAAGCATTATCATATATTCTTAATGCCATTCCTTTATCCAAGACAGAAAGATAAGTTTAGCATAATTCAACACACATTGGTGAAAACTGCACTTTAGCTATAACAGAACAGAAAAGCAGAGCAGAAACAGCAAGTAGTAATCTTAAGGGGAAATAAAAGAGGGTATCTAAAAATGTATTGGCTGACATTTTCTGGTTTAGGAATTCGATAGCCTTTCATTCCCAGGTTTGTCTCACTGTTTTCTCCACTCCTTGTCAATGTGCTGATCAGTCCCCTTCAGGTTAGGCAGAACTGGCTTCCATCACAATTCATTCAAGCAGTGTTCAAACTCAAGGATTGGTGGTTCATGCATGGCAAAACTCTCCTCTGCTAAATGGCTGCCTGACATGTCCTCCCCACCCTATGCACAAATAGCTCTTTGGAGAGATGGGTTGTTTCAACACCATTTGGCTTTGGATTTCAGCTCCCCAGTGATGAGAAAACTACAGCTGGAAGGTGGTCACTGCTACCTCATCCCTCCATCAAGAGTTGCCTGAAAGATCTCTGGTGTAACATTAAAAACAGGCAATGTTGCTCCTCTGCACTTCATTTTGTTCACCAGGTAGAATCCAAAGAAAAAGGCAATCCAGAGCTTAATTTGAACTAAATCATTTTCAGTGACAAGCTATACCTTAAAAACTTAAGGGATTGTGGTAGAGCCAGGGTGTGAGCACCCTGTATGATGGAACAAATATAATGGCGCATAGATCCTAGAAGGGTCACTAGAACAAACACTGGCTTCCCTACCGGAAAACAAAAATCACACACATGGTCCAGTGCTGTAAAAAGAAGCACTAAGTCAGATGGCTACAGTTGCCATTTTCATTATCCCCAGTGCCTCTGGGCACCAACCCCAATTATGCTACATCAGGCGAAGCATGGTCCAGAGGCCCAAGGAAGATATCAGCAGCAGCTGTCTGGCTAGGGCTTCTTTTTGCAGCACTGGGCTGAGAAAATACCAGGAAGCTAGGGCTGTATCACTTTCAGTGCTTACTGCTTGCTGTCCATCTCCTCTGCTACCTGTTAAGCTTTTATGAAGCTTTTATGAATGTATCAGAGGGCACCTTGAGCAAGGCTAATGCTGGGTAAAGCCCTCCCTGAGTCAGTAGACAGAGCCTAAACTAGATATGGGAGTGAAGTCAGTGGGTTTGGTATGAGGAACCCAGTACAAAATCTTTCTATTCACCCAGGACTATATTCCATGATGTGAAAAAAAAATTATTTGAAGTACTTTTATATTGCTCCTCGGCCAAAATAGATTACCAAAACAGCTTACATATAATAAATTAAGATAGTTTTGTCTGCATCTTTACAGTTTAAAAAGACATAGCACACAAGGAAAAAAGACTGGGAAGAGGAAAATTTAATGCTTTCAGCAAGGATATTGAAAAGGCCCTGCTTCTCCTTCTCAAATTCCACAGCCCAGCCTGCTGGAATGGCAAATGACAAAATTTGTCTGGATCACTTAAGAGTTTCTAAATGATTAATTCTATCTTCTTCAAACTGGTCAAATATAGCTAACCTTCCTATGGTCCATAGCAGCTTTTTAAACTTTTGGGGTGTTGTCTGGCAGACTGTTGCCTAAGGGTTGAGGAGGCACATAATGCCTCAAGACTATCCATAGTCGCCCATCCTGGCAAAACATAAACAAGACCCTCCTCAATCTCCCCAAGCTCCCAGTACTCTCTCCCTTTGTTTTTCTATCAGCTAGTTTGAAAACAGGTTGTTAAATACAATCCTAGTTTAACTGCAAACAAAAGAATATATAGCAACCAGTAATGTTATACGCAATACAGCTCCAAGAAAAAGCCTTCCGTGTTTCATTCATAGCAGAGGCACTTAGTTCTGTCCCGTCCCGCCCCCCAGTCAAAAAAAGTTGGCAATTTCTCACTGTCTCAATGTCTGTGCCAGCCCAACCTCCACCATTATTTAATCCAAGAGTGCACTCCCATTGCCATGGCAACGGCCTTATTTGTCCTACAAAGTGCCCCCCCTTCAAGTTCCACTTAGGCCTAGAAAGCAGCACAGGCATTTTTTGTGGATGTGAATAACCCCCCCCACACACACACACACACACTCTGTATGACTGAGGTTTGCTACCATGGAAACCATGCCACAGAACAAGGCCTTAGCCACATCCTTCAGCAAGCCCCTGGGTTTCTATGGTGCTGGCTAAAAGAGACCCCTTCCACTCCTAATAACCGCTTAATTTTGCTTACCCTTTCACACACTTAATTTTGTACTCACAAACAGAGAAGGGAGACAGTGATGGTGATAGTTTCATTTCATGCTTATGGATAAAATAATCTTTTTCAAAAGGCATGATACTGCCACTTTCTAAATCTGTCTATTTAAATGAAACAAAGCAAGCTGTTTTGGATCATAAGGGAAAAGTTTACAAAATTGTGAACTAGTGTTCCAGATAAATAGATTTGGAGATCTCAAAAACTTGCTCACAAATTTCAGCATTCTTGGCTGGCCATAATTAAATTAGTATTTATAATGAGAGACAGTGTGGTATAGTGGTTAAGATCATATGACCAAGAGATCTGGATTCTACTGCTTGCTCCACCATGGAGCTAACTGGGTGACTTGGGGCCAGTTACAGACTCTCAGCCCAGAGTCTGTAACTGGCCCCAGAGAGGCAGGAGGGGAACGATGTAAGCCACTTTAAATTCTTTTTTTTTTTTAAGAAAAAGGTGAGATATAAATCTGATGAATAAATGAATTTATTAAGGGGAAGGAAGTTTGGTATCAGGACCTCTCTACACTATCCTATGAGATTAAATCAAAGCAAGACACTAATGTTTTTGTTATGTGCCATCAAGTCATCTCCGACTTATGATGACTCTATGAATAAAGCCCTCCAAGCTGTCCTCTGCTTCACAGCCTTGCTTAGCTCTTGTAAACTCAAGATCTTCTGCCTTCAAATTTCCCTAGCATGATGGTTTTGCCTTCTCATGTGTTCAAACTATGACAGCCTCAGTTTTGTCATTTTTGCTTCTAGAGAAAGTTTTGGTTTGATTTGATCTAGGACCTGCTTTCTGTTGATCCAAGGTATCCACAAAGCTCTCCTTCAGCAGCATGTTTCCAACACATCCATTTTCCTTCTGTCAGTTGCCTTCATTACCCAACTCTCACACCCATGCCAACAGTCCAGATGATCTTGGTCTCCAGTGAAATGTCCTTACATTTGATAATCTTTCCTAGCTCCTTCACTGCTTCCCTTCCAAGTTGCAGTCTTATTTATTTATACATACATACATACATACATACATACATACATGTATTTATAGGCCGCCTGTAACTGCTGAGGTCTTCTTCTGAGCTGCATTCTATTTGAACTGATGATTGACCAATTGTATCAACATATTTTACAATTTCAGTGTCTTCATTGTTGCCATCAAAGATCTACTCTTGCCATGATTTTTGTTTTCTTAATCAAGCTAAAGTTTTCCCTTAGAAGCAAAACCAGCAAAATTGAGGCTGCCATTCTTAGGGCATATCCAGACTCACTGGAGAAGACCATCATGGTGGGGAATGTTGAAGGTAGAAGAAGAAAATGAAGACCAAATATGAGATGGATTGACTCTATAAAGGAAGCCACAATCTGAAATCCAAATTTGTCATGGATTGAGCAGGAGCTGAGCAGGGTTGTTATAGGTAGGATATTTTGGAGGGCTTTCATTCATAGGGTGGCCATAAGTCAGAAATGACTTGACAGCATATAACAACAATGTTCAGCTGCAGTCCTGCTTTTACACTTCCTTTTTGCACTTTCATCAGGATTTATTGCTACTTTCTGCCAGTAATATGGTATCATCTTCATTCATTGAGACATCTTCCTTCAATTTTCATTCCTTCCTCTGATCCTAAGCTAATTTTCCTCATGTCATAGTGTATGTACGGATCAAACAGATTGGGAGATAAAATACATACTTGTCTGATCCCTTTGCCTGTAGAAA